CATGTTTGGATGCTTGGGATAAGTTAATGGTAATTCCACTGGAGTCATCAGGGATATAGTTGTATATTCCTGAAATTACCTCTAAACACCTAAAACAGCATTCCCTAAAATTTTAATTATTTTCTTTCATATCGCTCAAACACACATTGCTTAAAAATAGCAGATTTTGTTTAAATCACATACCTAAAATTGCTTATCTCGTTATCGCCCCAGAGTAGTAGGGCCTACTGTTGCCATTGCTTTTTAGTCCCCAATACTTCAGTGAGTCATGCTTTGGAAATGACAATAATTTTATTACCCAACCCTTGAGTTGTTTTGTTTTTCATTTACCCAACCTTTTACTTACTCAAAATTTAGTTTACCCAACCCTTTTCTCTTCGGTGCCACCCCCCCCCCATAAATAATGACCGGTCCCTTAGACACAAGAAAAAAAGTGTTGTGCATATATTCTATTAATGAGTCAATCTATACCTTAAATCTTTGAACGCAAATTATTATCATGCCAAATAGCTAGGTATGTTAGGCATGCAGATGTTTACTTGACCGAGGAGTTTGGCTGCTTGAGAAGATTGATGAATCTAGTTTTTAGTGCGCAAGGGCCTAGAAACAACCTAGTTTTTAGTGCGCAGAGCCTAGAAACAACCTAGTTTTTAGTGCGCAAGAGCCTGAGAACAACCTAGAGTCATTAAAACTAGGTTGTTTCCAGTTTTCTCGCATAACAAAATAGGCAATGACGTCTTGTCACGGTTGGAAGCCAATGCGTTGACAATCGTAATAAGATTACAATGAAACATGATCTGACTATCTTAAGCCTTTTAGGTCAGCCATCAGGGTATAAATATAACACATATATGCGGTTGTGAAGGCAATGCGTAAGCTGCTTATAAACTATTTAAAAATTCTAAAATATATAAATTATTATGATAGATTTCAATGTATATTTAACAGTTTACTGCAACCTTTCACTGCCATTATTCAAAGCCTAGTTTGTGCTTTGCTTCCTGCCTAATTTTGGAAAGTTTACAAATTAATTGCCTAAATTGGAAACTTTCTGAAAGTGGGGTTTCCAGGCTTAAAGGGCCTCATTTGGAACTCTGCAATATGGTTCTATTTCTGAGCCATTATAGACCACAAGAAAGGCCAATTTAACCCCTACTTTTTTAACCAGAGCTATTTTGGCCCTCTCAGAAGAGCACAGTTTTAGCCCCAAAGAAGAGCTGCTTTAGAGCCGAAGGAGCTAATATAGCTTTTTTCATGATGTAGTTTGTAGCACCCAAAGGTTCAATTTGGTCCAATTTCAGAGCCATTATAGATCCAAAAGAAAAGCCAATTTAACCCCTACTTTGTTAACCGGAGCTGTTCTGGCCCTTTCAGAGGAGAGCAGTCTCAGCCCCAATGAAGAGGTGCTTTAGAACCGATCGAGCTGATATAGCTTTTTGGTGGTGCCGTTTTATATAGCATTTAAAGTCATGTGGATTTGGTTGCACTCTTGCATGTAGACGTATTCTACATGTATATAATGAATCAGGCAAAAATATTGGGGTTTATTTGGTCTTGATTAAATTATTACAATTTCTCCAACAGACCAAGATTGGAATGAATTATTGCAATATAAGTTGAGATAAATGTTCCAATTTCTGTATTATAAACACAATACTATAACTAAAATTACAATATACATGCACAGTAGTCAGTATTATGGATCTCACCGAAATGTGGGAACCATCAAAAGATTCGTACATATATGCCATATGGCTCCGAAAGTTTACAATTCTAATTTTAAAGAGCAATCAACTTGTGATAGCAATAGCAGGCGCGGTTGTTAACATGAACGCAATACGAATAATTTCTAATACATTACCACAGTTCGGTGAGATGTGAGACAATACACACATTCCATCAATAACATTAACTTGGGTTAGCATATGTCAACATAACTCTCAAAAAGTGTAAAATTACTGTAGTACTAATACTCATGAGTCATGACAAGTCATTGAAGAGGGCTGTGACCCTCACTGGCAGTTGTATATGCCATTTTCTGTCTTGCCCATGCACTACTATAGTCTGCAAAGCAGACAAGATGCTCTTCGTGTGGCAGTACTCAATATTGAAGATGTAAAAACTTGCCAATAAGGCGATAATTGCATCAAAACAACTGTTGCTTGTTATGGAACTTTCATCCTTTCCCTCGATAACGTATGATTGACAGTTTCTAGTCGTATTCTAGTAAGTTCGATGCCAACGACCACAATATGGGTTGTGATAAGTTTGAAATTGTATCATTTGCATCTTCAGACTCCTACAAAAAAAAACCAATTAGAATGTATGCAATAATCCGCAATTACAGGGGGTTATAGGACACATAAATATAAGGTCTCACCAAGAAACCCAATAATAAAGCTCTTACATACATCAGACACAAAATACCTGAAAAAGTATGTCACACCCGACTATAACTCTTCCAAAAGCATTAAGTATAACATGACTTAGATTCTGCACTTCACTTGGTGGAATTAATATTAGAATCATGATGAAGTCCACCTTATCACAACCCGCACACCCGATTACCTATATATACATAAACTTACGGTTACAGCTTAACAGCTGGCCTCTGTAGCTCAGAGCGCTGCACCGGAATCGCAGGGCCGTAGGTTCGATTCCTACCAGAGGACCTTGTGCTGCATTTTTCGCAGTTGTTCCTGGTTAGGTCTTAAAATGTATATATTCTCACTTGGATTCATTCTAATATTAATTCCACCAAGTGAAGTGCAGAATCTAAGTCATGAAGTCCACCTTATCACAACCCGCACACCTGATTACCTATATATACATGAACTTACGGTTACAGCTTAACGGCTGGCCTCTGTAGCTCAGTTGGTTAGAGCGCTGCACCGGAATCGCAGGGCCGTAGGTTTGATTCCTACCAGAGGACCTTGTGCTGCATTTTTCGCAGTTGTTCCTGGTTAGGTCTTAAAATGTATATATTCTCACTTGGATTCCAAACCCTAACATTCTAATATTAAGTATAACATACCAATATACAGTAATATTTTGAAAAATCAAAATATATGCTGCCTCGCAACAAACTCTCCTAAAAATAAGCTCACTATAAGCACACAAATATTATTCAAATTTACAGTATACTGCATCATAAGAAAAATAAATACAAAATTGGAAACATGAATTTCCATAGCCTGGTACAAGTGATTCAGGCAGACTACATAAAAACATAATACATGATATACATATAACTATACGATCTTACTTAACCCATTAAGCACCAGGGCTCTCCCCTTTACGAGTAGAATAGGCGTTCGACAGAGTAGAGTAATAAAGTTCAAAATCATTTTGTTTGAATTACTTCACCTATCTATTTGTTTAAAATTATGTATGGTAGATTCTGTGGTATGAACACTTGCAAAATTATTAAAAAAAAATTAAAATATAATGTGACATTATGTTGCCTTGACAACACTTGACACAACGTGAGCCTGCGTTCAGTGCTGGCCAATTGCTAATAGTTCACGTTAAATCAATGTTTGGAAAATATAGGCTAGGGGTTGCTGCATGCATTTATTTCTAGTTAAATATTAATTGGATATACTCATGTCACTAGTGGTATTCATTATATCTTGGTCATTTAATTTTATAACTGGACTTAGCTGATCTGTTCTTATAGTTTTTATATTTTTAGACTTTTTGTTATTCAAGTTTGAAACGAGACCAAGATTGGTAGCGTTTAATTTTGACAATTTAAGAGAATGTAGTTCTGCATTACTGTTTTTCTCTGTATCTCATCCTTAATAAGCCTACCATCTTTAAATTTCAAATTGCCTCTTTCTTTCCTCTTCTATATATTAATAGTTTTTCTTTGGAAAATATCAGTAATCATATTTCTAATCTGTACAGTTCTGTTCCTACACAACATCTTCGCACCCACACATCGTGTTTAGGACTGAAGTTCCAGATCATGGAAATGCTCTGCCAACAGCCCTGTGGGTTCCCAAAGAGTGTATAGCCCATGTATATCATAGTACAAACCATAGAAATAAAATTAAAACAATATATTTCCATTTCAAATGCTTTTTCATTAATGTACAATAACTAGGGAATTTTATGTAAAGTGCAATTCTACATTCTCTTCGATTGACTTGAATATGTTTATGGCTAGCATTTATTTGATGTACTACAACAAATCCACTAAATTTCAATGGACATACATAGCATCTCCCTATTTGCCATAAGGCATTATATTTGGTATTTTAATTAATATCTTAATTATTACAGAAATGATTGCACAAGTCATGCGTTTTGACCAATGTTGATCTATATTTTCAATATTAACCCCATTAAGCACCAGCGTTCTCCTCTCAAGACAGAGTAAAAAAAATAAATTAGGGCGGAATGCGACTCAATGTGTTAACAACACACATGGGCAGATAGGCCAGTTAACCCCATTAAGCACCAGTGCTGTCCCCTTAATGAGTGAAATCATCTGGCATTAGACAGAGTAAAATAATAAATTAGGGCACAATGCAACTCAATGTGTTAACAACACACATGGGCAGATAGGCTAGTTAACACATTAAGCGCCAGCGCTCTGCCCTTAATATTGTCCTGCGATAGACAGAGTAAAATAATAAATTAGGCCGCATTAGGGCACAATGCGACTCAATGGGTTAACTATGTACACATGGGCAGATAGGCTAGTTAACACATTAACCGCCAGTGCTCTCCCCTTGATGAGTAAAATTGCTAGCGTTAGATAGCCAGAGCAAAATAATAAATACTTAGTGTGCATCAGGGCGCAATGCGACTCAATGGGTTATTAACATCAACAATGTTTCAAATGTCAAATCTGCCATGCTCAATATAATCATAGATTCGACTATTAATTTGACATGTAAGTCAGATGTCCTGTATACAACAACATCAATATACAGTATACTATTAATTAATTAATCAACCACAAAATTGTCAATCGTGTATTATTCTCGGCCCAAAAGCTAAACCTATTAATCCTAGATTGGTGTTTAGTTTGGCTTTTGCTGCTACTGAAACGACTTTTATATAATTATGTGATTACAGCTCGGAATTACAGTGGGTTCTGCATATAAAGATTTTCTCTGGATTCGATGTTTCACTATTTAGTATCGAGTAAAATCAACAAATAATTATGGGTCAAACGAGGATGAGAGTATTTTAAAGTTGAAACATAGTTGCAGAACACTCATCAAAGCTTTAATTTAATAATATTTTGTTCATCTGGAACTTGAAATGTCCTTTGTGTATTGATAAGCAATTCATGCATGACTTTCATCCTGATTTTATAGAGGCTATATAAATCTAAAATACCAGTTTAAAAACTTACATCATCAAATGAACCAGTGTTGCCAGTATGCCTGATTCAGGAGATGATTCTTGATTGGGCAAAGTTAAACTAGACTGGGCTACTAGCAAGTGATATGTCGCAGGATTTGAGCTAGTAGTGAACTGGATATTTCAATGTTGTGTGCACTTTTTTCATCGTTGCTGTTACTTTCAACTAGTACCTACATATACAAAAAATAAATAATCTTACATTCGTATCGTAAACGTGAGGCTATAAGAACATATTTTGAATAATTGATGTCCGCTGTCGTGATTTGGCCATCAGCAAACAACAGTCGTCGACACGAAGGTGAAGAAAGTAAATAACATTTGCCAGAATTAGGCTAGTACAGCACGAGACGTTTCTTGAACGTATTTTCCTAATAAATTGTTTATTTGTTCAAAATATACTGCAACGAACGAGGTTTTACGCTTGTATTTTATCCGTATCCCTCGTCGAAGCAAATCCCAACGGCCAAGTGGCCAACGTTCGATAATGGCGCCAAAAGTTAGTACGCATGCTCGAGAATGATTGCAAACCCGATTGCTTACGGGCGCGTGCATTCTCGTTCCCAGTTCCCGCGATCATTAATATTAATATTACACCTAGGCCTTATTGTATGATTACACGTTCAATTCTCGTGATTAATTTTTACAAATACCGTATTTATATTTACGATAATATTACTAAAAATCTGGAAAACAAATTTCAATACCCTTACAAAATGAAACATCAAATCTCACCTTGTATAAATTAATCCAAAAAACGTCCTCTTCTTTTTCTTTGCGAGCATGTGCTGATGTGCATTCTTTAAGTTTTATGCGGAAGTTAATTTGATACGATCATACGACGGACGATCGACACAATTAAGAGTCGATTTGACGGAAGGGTCGATTTGACACAATATTAATAGTCGATTTGACACAATTAAGAGTCGATTTGACAGAAGAGTCGAATTGACACATTTACGAGTCGATTTGACAGAAGGGTTGATTTGACACATTTAAGAGTCCATTTGACAAAAGGGTCAATTTGACACAATTAAGAGTCGATTTGACACAAGGGTCGATTTGACACATTTAAGAGTCAATTTGACAGAAGGGTCGTTTCGACAAAAGGGTCGATTCATTCCAGGGTCGATTTGACCTATGCGAGAGTCGTTCCGCGATGGAGAGCCGAGACGAAGCTCATAGGGGCCAATGTGTTGATCAAAAGCGGCCGCTTTATGTGGGGCCAAAACAAACCCGGACGTGAGAGTCGTTTTGGTCTGTGGGGTCATATTGGCAATTGATGGGGCTAAATTGGAAAATGATGGGTCCGTTACGGCAAAGGGTAGGGCCAATTTGGCTTTCCTCCATACCTAAAATGGCTCCGTCGGTGCCAATCCAGCTCTCCAATGCCAAAATGGCTTTCACATAGGGCCAAAACAGCTTTGGCCCCAAAAGGGCTGAAACGGAATTTTCTAACCTGAAAAGAAGGCCTGAACCCTATATGAATAATATCTGGCATTGGTCAGCCGGATACCAAATAATGAATTAAAATCTTAATATCCAGCCAGATACATGTATTAGTCTATTGCATCCTATGTCTTGAAATGCCAAACAAATTAACTTGTTAAATGACTGTATATTGATATTCAATATACTTAGCTAATATATGCACCCTTTTATTGTTAACCCTTTGAGCAGCAATGTGCCCAAGTGCACCCTACTTTGTTATTTTGCACTACCTAACACCAGACATTTTACTTTGTGAAATGCCAGACAATTTTACTCATGCTCACTAATGTTTATCCAAACTATCTGCCAATGTGCCTTGATAACCCATTAAGTCGAAATGCACCCAAATGGACCAGCCTTTGTTATTTTACTCTGTCAAACGCCAGACAATTTTAGTCATCAAGAAGAGAGTCCTGCATGCTAGTGGGTTAATTAAATTACTTAATTACATATGTTGTTATATATAAACTTAAGCTGTTAGATTGTCCCATTGTATATTAATTTTTTACTTATCTTGACACAGGCTTGTATGTTGGATCGATACGACTACCTGTAAATATGGTTAAACTTGGCTATGTGATTCAAAGGTTGTGGCTCACCGAGCGATAAAGAAAATGATACAGAGATGGAATGATTGGATGCAAGTTATTTACATTGTTTCATATGACAGGTATTCTGATTGTGGAAGATGTGGGGTTGCAATATTTTGACAATTGCATGGCTATAAAGTACGAGACAATTAATATAGTACTCCATTACTCTAATTGCCAGAACACAGCATCAGAATGAGAAGTCCGTTACAGTTCGGTTTAGTAAAAGTACATAGTAAAAGTACATAGCTATGTAAAATGTAATTTAGTCAGTGTCAAATACATATTTTGTCATGGATAAACTCTGTGCAAATGAGCATGTCTCTAATGTCATTTTACTTTTAATAAGAATATGTAGATGTGTTTTCTAGTACACCTTAGGTTTGCTGTTATATATAGCATCTTTTGTAGGTGTGTTATGTAACACACCTTAGTGTGTTATGAAACACGCCTTACAACGTGCTGTAAACATTACAGACCTGAATGGTGTGTTATACAGCACAGTTTTAGGTGTGTTTTAAAACACGCCATGGTGTGTATTATGAAAACACGCCATGGTGTGCTCAAAAACACACTTTTATTCAAAACACACCTTAAGGTGTGTTAAAATCTGGACAAGCCGAAAACACACCTTAAGGTGGGTTTTAGAACACACCTTAAGGTGTGTTTAACACACCTTAAGGTGTGTTAAACACACCTTAAGCTGTGTTACAAAGCACGCCAAAAGCTGTGTTAAACACACCTTAAGGTGTATTCTAAAACCCACCTCAAGGTGGGTTAAAATTTGGACAAAAAGGTGTGTTAAATTAACACACCTTTTTTTAGAGTGCGTGCACGCGTGTTTTCCAAAATCGGTGTAGGGTGTGTTATCTAACACATCAAGATGTGTTTTTGTAAATTAGTATGAGGTGTGTTCTCGAACACACCAAGGTGTGTTTTCATTCAAAAGGTGTGTTATTGAACACACCTTATATGCATCAAAGGTGTGTACGAAAAGGTGTGTAAAATACAGTGTGTTTCTTAGCACACCTAGGTGTGTTTTGTGACACACCATGGTGTGTTTTCTAATACATCATGGTGTGTTTTCTAACACACAAAGGTGTGTTTTCTAAAATTGTATAGGAAGGTGTGTAAAATGTACACACCTTGGTGTGTAATTAAACACAGCTTGGTGTGTAATTAAACACACCTTGGTGTGTAATTGAACACACCTGTTTTTAGAGTGTATAAATGTGAATCACGCTGTACCATGGTACAACGTCAATCCGCATGCGCTATTATACGACAATAACAATATCGGATTAGTCATTTAGCGCGACGGTCACGCAATATATTTCCAGTCAACAACTAAGCGTTTGTCTGTCTAACAACACAAATAAATATGAATTAACGTATTTTAGAATATTCTTAGTGCAAAATAGTAATCTATTCAGCAACACTCGCCTCATCTGTTCAGTTCAATGAAGGTATTGGGATAAAAATATGGGTCTGAACAGATGTGGAAAGGCTGCGTGGCAACAGAAGCGCCCGAACTGGACGAATTTCTGGGTGGTCGGGTGGGTTGTTTTGTCTTTCGGTCAGATTTGTGTCTCCTGACGGAATTCACGCTAAATGGTGCAATTTCTGCTAGGTCTGGTCATTTTATACATTGCCTGTATCACATGATACCTAATCAACATATATATTGCATAATTATACCACATTTCCTTTTACATATGATTACGAGTATTGCGAATAGTAATCTATTCAGCAACACTCGCCTCATCTGTTCAGTTCAATGAAGGTATTGGGATGAAAATATGGGTCACCATCACTTGTTCTCAGTTATTCATCCCACCCACCCACCGATTCATCACTTACACTTGTCTCCCAATCCTTCTAATCTCCCAATCCTTCTAGCTTTACATCCTACTTCCATACCTTATCCCCAAACCTCAAATTATATGCTGTTCATGCAGTAGAATCGGTAGGCGGGCACATGGTCAAGGATCTAACAGGATACTCACAAATAACACGTGTAAGTTGATTAATATCATTCCAGTGCGCCGTTGCTTGTAGTTTATCATGGGACGGCAACTTAACAGGCGCTCCAATTGCATGTAGCCACCGTCTCAAGTGGAAGATAATGCAGCACGGTATGCCTTTGTGAGCAATACATGATCCAAGAGTTCGGATAATTCGATGGCTTTATATAGCGTTCACTATATATCGTGCGATGGCAGCCAGCAGGCACAAAATAGTGTTAGAATTTCAGTGAAGACCAAACACATTAGCGTCTCCAGCACGTAAAGTCGTGCCCCAAATTAACGTGGTTAAACATCGGGGAAGTGTCATAGAGAGGCAGAGAAGCGCAGGAACTTTCACCTGTCCTAAGGCTCCCATGCGTTCACCCCTAAAAAACATGTACTTGAAATAACCTGATCTGGGAGTCTGCTGCTCGCCTACGATCATCTCTCATTGTTCGTAATATTTATGTAGCTCCACCGAACGAAACGAATGAGGAATTATGAATAATAAAA